CGTCTTTGGCACATTCATCATTTCCCTCCTAACAAGATTTTTTTTAAAAAAATACATAAACTCATTGATATTATCTTTTTTAAATGACAGAGATCTATCATGATGACTCATTCATTTATATTACATTGAATATTAGAGACAAGACTTGTAAATAATGAGAATGGAAGAGAAATATACAGATGTGGTGTTTCATAAAGGCGTTTATCTTCTGGTAAATGTTAAAACGATCACAATCTAAAATGACATTATTTTTACAGCTCTGCTGTCTAAAGCAAAACAAGTGCCATAGAAAATTTCCTGTGATAATAAGTTGTGAAACTTGTGCTATTATCATTTCTTCATGCATTTATACTTTAGTCTTACTGATGTTTGATTAACTTCAGCTGGTTAACATCGACTTTAGTGCTATGTTATTTAGAATTATTGTTTTACACATTGTAATTTTTTATTCTTTTGAGATTACATAGTAGGTTTTTACTGGCAGCTCTTGGAAGAAGTAATTTATAAGGTTACAAAGGTACGACTATTTCCTTAGCGTGCCTACCTCATATGTGTAGTCATAACATGAGAAATCTACAGCTCTTAACCCCTCATTTTATGCACTTGAAGAACAGTGGGTGCAGAAGTTACATCAGGAGTGTTTTCAGTGGAAGCTGAGTGGCAGGAGATCAAAGCTGGCATTAGGGAGGAAAATCAGGTCTTAAATTCCAATGCCATGTGCCAATAAGCATGTTGTCATCCTGGTGTAGAGATTAGATAGACAAGTGCTGCTGAGAACAGCTGTGTTCATATGCTGGTGTGTGAAAATTACCTTAACTGAGATTCTTTAAAAACAGATCATCAAAACCAACATCATCTACTGACTGCAAGGAGGAGAACCCTCACCATTTACAGAGGGTGAATTATTCTTTTTCTTTTTCTCCTCAGGACGGGACCGCTGAGAAGATCTAATGGCTTACTGCTGCCTCTGTAAACTAATTCAGCTCAGTAACCCTGCAGAATCCTATTCCGTGTAGCTAGATTTTTTTTTGCCAAATTGGCAAACTGAATTGACTCCCTGAGTGAGACAAGCACCTGAGCTAACAGAGGGGAAGTGGAAGGATCTTGCAGCCCAGCCTGGGGATGGGGAGGGATGGAAGAGCTGTCTGTGAGACACTCACATGTGCATCTTCCATGCTCAGCTCAACATTAGATTGGAGTTAGTGGGGATACATGCTATTCCTGAGGCTAACACTTTTTATTTGTTTGTTTGTTTTTGCAATTCCAGACTGCCAATCCAACCAGATTTCTAAATGCTACATTTAAAATAAAACAGGGGAGAGGAGAGGGAAGGGGCACGATAAGAGGTATGTAAGAATGCAGATTATACAGATGATAAACCCAGAGTTGCTGACACTCCCATACAGGTAACAAAACAGCACAAAAAATCGTGTAAAATGAAAGCCAGTCATTGCTCTGTTTAATTAATTTGTTATGTTGATACAGTGAAACCACTGAAAAACCACTCCAATATTGCCCCCTCCCTCCAAAACACCTGCAAAACAAAATTATCATCTGTATAATCTGATCCATTAAAAAAACGAAGACTGAAAAAAATGAATATACAGACAATTTCCCTGAAAAGAATTTCAATTTAAGTACTAGCGTTGGCCCAAATTTGATATTGTCCCAAACAAAGTGAGCATAAAACACTATCACTCTGCCAATTTAACGTTTCAAACTGAGTCAAGGAGACCACCTGAGCTATATTAGGTTATTGTGTACTTCGTTGTAACGTTTAAATAAAATAGTCTGCTTTGATCGCAGTAAAACCCATAACCTATGCCAGTGACTACTGACCCCATGTTTCACATCCTTCTTTCAGTGTTATAATTTGAAAGTCAAATGGGCAGAAGACGAAGGTGGGCACATGCCTGCCTACTTAAACTGACTGGACTTCTCCAGCTTGTGATGACAAGGAGGCAGACTTGGTACTGTACTGGCTTCCACAGAACAATTTTGCTTCCAGTCCATGCCCTTTCGAAGATAATGGGAAGAATTAGTTTCCTTCTCATGTCTCTCTCTATTTAACAGCGTTATCCAGCATGTTACTTGGCTTGAGCAATGGATTTCTTAGAATAAAAATGAATTTATTGCTTAGTATTCTGAAGCAGCATTTTTGTGTGCAGAGACCTTCATAAATGGAGTAAATATGGCCCGTGGCTGCTTGTAATACCTTTATCTGACAAGTCCCTGGCAGCAGTAACTAATTTTACCTTTTGTCTTCTGCCAGAATTTGTTTCTGGCCTTTTTTTTTTTTTGTGTGTGTCTTTCGTGTCCTTTTGCTTTTTTTATTAGTAAGGCAATGAACTTTGTGTATTCATTATGAGAACTAATCATCAAGGTTGCTTTGGTAAAAAATGCGCTTTGATTTCCCTTACAAACTGTATTCACTTTTTATAATATTGGATTGCAACCTGTCATAATCTGGAAAAATTTAAATGAAACTTCAGGGTACTAATTACTTAAAATATATTAAAATTTAGGACAGAACACAAATATTCAAGAGTCCTTTCTAATACATAGATTCTAAAGATTGGAAGGAAGAAGTAAGGATGGAATTTTTGTTACGTTTCTTCCCTTTTTCTGATTTGTACAGTAATGGATTACCATTACATTTCTCTTATTTTTAAAAATTTCTTTCATTTTCACTTTTACAAAAAAAAAAAAGGTTTAATTCTATAATACTAAACATGAGCTGTTCATTACAGAAAGGGTCAGGAAAGCAAAAAGCCCTAAGTATAAAGCTACAGATACAAAGGATCAAAGGTCAAGCTTTGGGAAGACACTTTATGGCCTTTAAAGACATTTTAAAGACACTTTAAAAGACATTTATGGCCTCAAGATTCCTGATTTAAAAAATATACTCTTGCTTGTATTTCAATTTCAGATATTAAGGAAAAAATATACATAGGCATTTGGTGAAACTGTTGGATTTAGATATTGGAGAAGCAATTACACTTGTTAAAAGGAAAATAACACATACTTAGTCTACTTAATATCTTCAGATTCTGTTTCTAATATGAATACAGCTCAAATGCCGCAGATGACACCGATGACTCCTTAAAAGTTCAGCACCCCCCCAGTCAGGAGCAGCCGAGCTTCCAAAAACAAAACTACATGAGCTTACTTGTTGAACTATAAAATCAAACAGATCTTTCAGCCTCTTTTACACAGCCCACAGCTGCTACGCAGCCCACAGCAGCCTCTGCCCGTCTCCCTCCGCAGACCACAGCGCAGCCTCATCCGGGAGCCAAGGACATTGAGCACTGCGGGGCTGATGAGTCATCGCTATTTCTCAACCTGCTTTCAGAGTTTGGTATTACATACCATCTGGACACAGCCTTCATAAATGAGGTTTCAAGGAAGTCATCTGATGGCGGGACGGAAATGACTGCTAATCGATAGGTGGAAGACTTGAAAATGGTGGTTCCACGAAAGGAAAATCCCGTATGACCCTGGTCTAAGCACTTATTACAGCAGGATGAAAATGTTCTCATTTCTCTTACCGGTGCAGACGCTTTAAAAGCAAACATATTTATAATGATGCTTTTTCCTGGGTTTGGACTATTTTGCAATCATTTTCTGCCCAGCAGAATGTCGTTGGTTTTTTTACCAGCACTTATACTATTTCACATGCTTTTTGTTTACTTTATCATCTCTCTTGTCTCGGACTTTCCAGCGATTGCTCCTGTGCCCCTAACCTTATTTTAAACTCAGTTGTGAACTCTCCTCTTCCTGCTTTTTCTGCTGAAAGTTTGTGCATCTCAACTGTTGTGGAAATGCTCTTACTTTGTCTAGTTTTATTGAAAAACTCATCTACTTTTCTTCACAAACCAATAAAAAAAGTAACTTTTTATGGCTTCCCATCTCTCAGCTCTTTCTTAAAGACATGCAGAGTCTGAGGGGAGCGTTCGACATAACAGATTTTTGACATGGAAATCAAAGTCTTTTTCAAGTTTCTTTTTCAATAAATACAGGAAGATAGACTTATCTGGGGAGTAATTAGGAGGAGCTGAATACTGGGGTCTTGAGTTGCTCTTTGTAAGAGCCTTTCTCAGGAGTGTGAGCGAGATATTTTGACAGTGAGTGAGCGCGGGGGCAGAGGATCATGTAAGTCATGTTTGTGTGACTGTGGGCCCACACAATTTGGACAAGGGGAGGAAGACAGAGTCACTGGAAATGGTGCAGTTACCCTGAAATCTCTGTCTAGGGACAAATATATGTGGAGAATTGTGGTCATCTGAGAAGAAAAGTATGCAGACCAGGTTCCCTGACCTCCCCATACCTCTCCTCTCTGGTGGGTATAAAGGTAGCTTCAAACCACAGTTGAAAGTTAGCTTTCCAGAATGATCATTTAAGACCTTCTCTACTTCTAAGCATACAGGGAACATTCTTTTTTCTTTCTGTCTTAAAAAAACTCCAAACTTTTCAGGAGTCACTTAAAGATAACTCGTGCAAACTGGAAATTATGAACCTGAAATAAAAAAACCCCAGCTCTTTTTGAACCAACATTGCATTGCTACTTATAATAGTTTAGCCCTTTCTTTCTGGGGCTAAGAAAACCAGAACATGTCTGCTGTGTGTTTATACTGGACTTTTTTTTCCACCTGTGAGGCCGTGAGGTGCAATTAACACTTACTCGTTGATAGCCAACTCACAGCTGGCTTCAGCTAAAGGCTTAATCTTTGAGTAACAGAGCCACAATTTTCAAGAAGGTAACCATGGATGTAGTATTTAATGGTACCCACCATTCCAAAAAGACACCAACAACAGATCATTGTACAGCATGTGCTGAAAATCCCTGACCATGAAAATACATAAATCCAAAAGTCTGTTTTGTTTTAGCCACAGAGCTAATACCATCATTACGGCTGAACCCACGGGCTGCTATTACTCCATACTACTGTTGTTCATTACTAATTTTTATAAGTTTAAAGATTTTGGTGAAAGGAACCTACCCGTGCCTTCTGCTCCATCTCCATCATTAATCTTTCATGTTGCTCTGCTATTGCCAGCGTCGCAGAATGGACTTTCTGATATATCATTTCTCCTTCTCGTGTCTGAAAGGTGAACAACCCTTCTCCTGTGTCACACATCCTGCAGTGAGATTTAAGCAGAATTGAAGGAAAATAAAGATGAGTACTGTGTAATTTGTATCTAAGCAGTAGAAAATGCCAACTTTTGTAGTTAAACTCTGGAATTCCGAACATTGGCAGTTATTTTTACCATTGAAGAGAGACATATTCCAAGAGATGTGCAGAACTTTGTGAACATAACCTTTAAATTCAGTTTTAATCATCATCTGGGTAGTGAAAAAGAAGTTTTATCATAGAATAAAAAATTCAGGTAATACAGTCAGCTATTTCCGGCATTGTTTCAACTGCCTGCACTGGTAAGTGGGAGCTAAATTTAATTCCCTTAACCAATTGATGCCAGAAGTACATAGCACATAATGACTTTGAAAAGTTGACATTTTAAGAGAACATCGACCAATTAAAAACACTATTATGGCTAATTACTACAAAGAAGCTGTATTGAAAGACAGCATTAAGAGGGTTAATTTATAACTGTCTCCGTAAGTACTTTATGTGAGGCAGCATCTAAAGCTATCTTGACAATTACAAAAGCCATTCAGTCTATTTGAAAATAGGAACAGTATTTCTGTAGTATAAGAAGATCAGATTGTGGAAAAAAACAAACAACCAACCCAGAAATAAAATTTACATTCTTCTTTTGAGAGAGCAACTGCTTTTATCTATGATATTGTTTGGCATTATTCTGAGGAAGAAGAGTGGTCAATGGTAAATACGATAAAGGGGGCTGGGAAATACAGAAAATGGGAGTAGACAACAATGTTAGATTATTAATTATGGTGAGGATATATGTGGTGTTGAAGGGTGGTGCAATTTGACATATTTATATTAGTAGTTCCCGTATATTATCAGTGTCTGATTTCTGCATTTTCATAGACTTCTTGCAATTTTAGAAATGGAATTAAAAAATTGTTTTTATTTGGTCTGATACTTCCTGTAAAGATTTTCAGTTATCTGTGATAGAATATTGTTCACTTGAGTCACTGATGTATAACATCCTTCAGCAATAGAAAGATTTTTGATTTGCCTTAAAATACCAGATTCCTTTAATGTTTTGGTTGTTTACATTATTTTTAAGGACATCTAACTTTTTTAATATCCCAGCACCTTCAGCATGGCCCCAGAAATCCTGAGGCATATAGAATTGCAAAGCATTTTAGAAAAATGTGCCCTGAGCAGTCTAACATTCGAACAGGTTTTTAAATATCAGTATCTTTAGAGCTTGCATCCCAGATTCTTTATGATTATTCATACATTAAATTTTACAAAATATCTTCCCATCAAGTGAACATATAGGTCTATATTGTTTAATTAAATAGTTGTTTAAATTTGTCTCCTGCTATATTACATGCATGCACACACACACTGTTATATTACAGCTTTTTGAAAATGTAATAATAAAACCTTAACACTTACAAAAGCTTTGCCTGTTCACTGGAGGAGACATGCTTTAGTGAGCCTCCTATAAAGAACTTATGCATGGCTGTGTTTGGGAAGAACAGAAAGTGTTGGAGACAGAAATAGATAAAACGAGGTGCTTCTGGAAAATACCTGGTGAAAATACTTAGTAATGATCAACTGAGGTGTTGAAAAGAAAGACATGGTCTTAAGGATAGACGATTCACAACATTATTCATATGGATATTATCGATAATTCTGGAATAAAAATAGTCTTCTCCATCTCAAGATTTAAAGAAAATACAATAAACTTTGTAGCCAGGCATTATTTGATCAGCATTAATGTGGTGTGCCAATTAATAGATTAAAAAAGAAAAGCTTTTGTATTAAATTCCAACAGAGTTCAAGATCCCCGCTGTAAACATTTAAGATATTTTATATCTTTAGCCACAATTCTCCAAAGAGCTTCTGGTAGAAATAAAACGTCTCCAGAGTTTTGCAACGTTATGGCAACAGCCTTTCAGATCCCTCAGGGCATCATATAGCTGGTACTCTGCTTTTGTGTAAAGAGATCTTAATAAAATTCAAACAGCGTGAAATGGAAAGGCTGGAAAAAATGACGAGGTTTCAGGAACTGAAGAAAAATATGATCTTTTTGTTAGTTTCAGAGAATGAAAAATCCTGCAGGGATAAAAATAAGGGAGCAGGCAACGGGGCATGATGAAGCTTCGGGAATTAAGCAGCTTGTTCTGACCGAGCAAAACCTAACCACCACCACTGCCGATGGGCTCATGGTCCGTACCGCCCGCCTGAGCCCCGGGTGGAGGCAGTGGTGTGGGATGTGGCACCACCCCAGCACCTCAACCAATGCACAGGATGGCACCACGGGGTCCTGCTTCCAAACCACAATGGGTGACCATGGTGGTCATGTCATGCCAACATCGGAAAGCCACTGATGGCAACCTCTCAGCATCCGCATTGTGGGCTTCCCTGGCTAATGATGGATGACATGTACACACCTGCTCAAAACTGGAAGTGGAGGAGAATTATGAGCACCATTTTTTAAAGTGCTGAATACTTCACTTAGAAGTTTAACAGGACTTGAAGGCCTCAAGAATGAAGGCCTCAAGAATGGCACATCTGAGTTGTGTAAAGGCAAAAACTGTTAGAATAAAACACCTAAACTTGTTATTAGTGATCTGTCTCCCAAGGAGATCAATCCCTTTGCCATAGTGAAGTTTTCCTGTTCAGCTCTTCAAGATGTTAGTGTTTTATTCAGGTGAAAATCTTGAGTTTAGACCTTTTCCCTTGAAAAAAAACTTGATAGCAGCCCAACCAACTCAGTATGACCTTCACTGTCAAAAAATTTCACTGATTTTGTATATTTTAATTTTTTTATGAGAGGCTTAACATTCTGTGGATGCTTGAAAAATGCTGATGTTAGCTTCTTTATTTCTGCATTTTCAAACTTTAAAACAGGGATGTCATTAACCTGTGCTTTAGGATATTTAAGAATTCAATGCATTAAAATGTATGAAGTGCTTTGACTGAAATAGGAAAGTGCATTTTTTTCTGTATTATTACAGAATGATATAACTGGGCGATAATTAAACCAGTAGGTAAACTGTGTTGCAAATCACTGTAATTTTGTTTACTTACTGCCACAGTTTTTCACAACCATCATTGTTAGTAGATCTGGCTCAAGAGTGCAGGGGAGGAATGGGGAGAAGGTGAGAGCTAAGTTTGTGGCCCAGGACAAACTGGATTCAGAGAACAACAGTGAAAGTTCTTGCTTGTACTCAAACGTAGGGCTTCTGTTCAAGCCAAAGAGATTTTCCTACCAGTATTGCCAGATTGTTATACAACGTTTCCCAAATTTACACAATGGTTTCCCACTGCCTCTGCTCACTACAGTAACTTCAGTCTTTTTAGAGCAGAATCAATACTATATATTAACCTTGCAGACTTTCCTTGAAAAAGGAAACTTTGTTGACTTGACTTGACCACCATTTACAAATGTCACTTCTTCCCAAATAGAGGTTCATGCTCTCATGTCATGGTTGAAACATTTAGACGTTTAATAAACAGTGCAACACGCAGCAGCTGCAGAAGAGGACAAGAATTTGACACGTCAGCTTCATTTCACTAAATGCATTTGCACAAAAATGAAGGCTGTCTGAAAACTAAGATGCTCAGAAACATTATTTGCTATAAGTCCTTGTTTTAAAATAAGGGATAAATGACAACTGTAACAAAAAGTTTTAGTTCTTCATACACCTAAACCTATTTTTAAAGGATTTGAACAATTTCTTTTTACCTACAAGTAATTTAGCATTAAAGAAATAATGGCTGATTTGTAAATTCATTACTTAAAGGTATATAAAACTGCATACAAATAACTAAAAAAAAGTAAACATCCTTGAATAGGCACTGAAAAAATATAATAAAAACTTTTTACTATTAATAACTAATTTTTACTATTAATAACTAATTATTATGAATAACTATAGCTATTAATAACTAATATATAAGAAATAGCTACTATCTGGGTTTAGCATTTCTAGTTCTTTAAAAAAAAAAAAAGGACTTTAAATTACTAAATGAGAACAGATCATGAATGGGTATTGTCCAGTAATCAGAGGCCTAAAAGTTACTGGATGTGACTGCTGTTTCATAGTCCACACTTGATGTGTGAAAAATTATTTCCTTTAAACAGTGAAGCTGTTTACTGAGGCACTTCAAGGCTCAGAAATGAAGTCAGCTGGTGCTTATTTCCTGTATGCTGAAGAAGGTAGTCAGATGCCACATATGGGACCAGACCTGTTACTGTCACAAGGCCAGTGGTCAATAAAATATGGCCTTTCTTTAAAGCCTTGAAGCTGTGGCTGTCAGTCAGGAAACAACTAATTGGTATGCAATATTTAACTCTGAACTGAGACACTTATCTTGTGTGTTGCTACAGCTTTGATTTTCTAAAAAGTGGTGGAAACTAGCAATTTTGCCTCCAATTTAATTAGATTATCAGTGGAGACACACAAACACTATCTCTCTTGTGGATATCTAACTTTTGTTCTTTCCTTGTTTGTTGTTATCTCAACTTGAGCTAAGCCATTTTGACAGAAATCCTGTTTGTTCTTTGTGTGCAAGGACGTTACACATAGCATACACTAAAGACAGGCTAGCTAACCGGCAGACCTCACTATAAAATGAATGCAAAGCTCCCCTGAGGGTCCAAATTCTTTGCTCATTCCAGCCTTCAACACATGCTAGCTTCCTTCCTCCCAAAGTTGTTCTTTTCTGAGAAAATGGAAAAAAGGCAAGGAAAGTAAATAAGCTCTTTGTGGCTGGGGCATATTTAGATAAAAAGCTCCCTTTATACCTAGGAATAGTTATCAAAACAACTGTAAAATAAACTATGTACATTCTTATAAAATTGTAAGTCAACTTCTATGTTGAAATGATAGGAAAGCAGAGGAAGAAATAAGAAAATGTTGATAAGAAACCTAACTTACAATAAGGCAGGCCAAAAAGGGATACATTTTGGGGGTGAATCAATAAGAAAAAAGATAACTACATAAATAGGATATGTATGGGACCTAGGAAAGG